GAGGAGCCTCTGGCACCCACCTTCTTCTTCAGCTCTACGCTGATGGCGTTGGCTTCCTTGAGGAAGATAGCGTTGCCCCAGAGCAGGTCGCGGAGGGAGGTGAACTGGTACCACTTCCACTTCCTAAAGGCCCAGAGGGCCAGCTCGAACTCCCGCTCTGTCCACTGCACTGTGGGGACACAGAGAGACAGTCACTCCACTGCCGGGAGGGAGGACATTGGCGCAGAGGTGCCCAGGGGACCCACAGTCCACTCTTCTTGCTCCCACAGAGAGCATCAAAACCCTGGGGTGGCACCCAGCCCTCACCTTCATCCTCAGGTTCTTCCTCTTCCTCGTTTGCCTCAGGGTAATACCTAGAGTCCATCTGCTTCTGCAAAGCCTCCAGTTTGCTTTCATAGTCCTGTGGGAAGCAGGGAGAGGGATGATGCAACCCACAAGGTATGACCTTCCTCCATGCTGCCACATAGCGCTTCTCCCCCCCTCCCAGGAACCCGGCCTCCTCCCTCCTCTGGATCTGTGTTTATGGGGATAACCGCAGGAACAACAGGTTTGCCCTTGTTTTTAGGACACACTGAGTCACCCCATGCAAACATCTGCCAGGACTCAGTCGTGCCTGGGCAGCCTGAGAAGGAGCCAGGTCCTGGCCACCTACCAGCCTCTGCTGCTCAAGAAGGTAATTCGCCTCCTCCCGCTCCCTCCGGTACTGGTCCTCCAACTCCTGGAGCCTGGGAGGAATGGGGAAGGAGAGGATGACTAACCTGGAAGTGGATACCCAACTCCCCATCACCCCAACCCATGCCCTCACCGCTGCTCCATCTCCTGCTTCATGTCGATGCCCTGCTTCTCTAGCAGCTCCCTTTGGGCAAAAGCCCAGTCCACGGGCTCAGCGGGGGTCTCGGCACACGGGGTCCGCTCCCGTCCCTGCCGAGCCTGCTCGGGGTGGTTGAAGCGGAAGACATGGCTCTTCCCCATGATGATGCGATTTCCTACAGGGATGCACGTGGGGCATGGGGAAAGGGCATGGGTTTAATGTGGGACAACCTGCAGAGCTCCTGTGGGGTGGAGGGAGGCAGGTTAGAGCAGCACTGGCATGCCGGCTCTGGGGACCCACCTGAGCGCAGGATGCTGGGCTCCGTCACCTTTTTGCCGTTCACGTAGGTGTCGGCGCCTTCACAGGGCTCCAGGGTCACTATTACTGCAGAGACGGCGGGAGGGGGAGAGAGGGAGTGAAGGTAAGGTGGAAGCAGAGGGATAAATCCTGCATCTCCCGCTCCGCTGCTCCTGCAGCCTCAGAAAGGGAAAGCTGCCCCAGCTGGCACTCCAGGCACGGAGTCAGGGGACACCGGGGTACCCACTGGCAGCACCCATACCCTGGGCAACCAATGGGGCTCGGCCAACCTCATGTTAATCACAGCAGGCCCAAGGACTAAAAGCAGCTGGAGACTGGATGTCAGAGGAAATCAGAGCCTCCAGCACGCATCTCCAGCCTCCCCAGGCTCATCTTCCAAAGCCCTTTCACCCCCAGGTTCCTACTGGTTTGCGAGGTGGGTTCTGCTCCACGTCTTGGGCGGGGGAATCATCTACGGTCTGCTCTTCCCTCCCGCCCTGATCTCCCTGGCTTGCCTCACGGCAGCAGCTTCCATGTGCCTTGCACGAGCTTCCCTCCCAGCTAGGTGAGGACCGTAGCTCGCTCTGGAAGCACGGAGAGACCACAGCCATACGGGAGAGCCCCACTAGTCTGAGGAGGGCAGGGTCCCTGGCTGGGGGCAGGTGCTGGGGACACGCAGAGGGACTGGGGTCCCTGGGGAGGTGGGAGCCCCTGCAGACAACTAATACCTTCACCGCCGGTTTTGGTGTCGCTGCGAAAAAGGCAGTGCTCTTCCTTAATGAAGTGCCCACTGAGAACGATGTCCTGTCTCTTCTCTGCATCTTCCCGGCCAACCCTGCCGGGGGGAAATCCAGCTCGATCCTTCCTCAAAGCAGCCCCTCCCTGGGCCTCCCCCCAAAACCATCCTTGGGGCTGACAGGAGCAGCCTTTGGTGCACAGCAGGACCAACGTTCCTAACGAGATTGCCAGGCATATACATTTCTCCCATGCGGCTATGGCACGTTGGGGATGCCCTGGGAACGGTGCCCAGCCTGAGACAGCTGTTACCCCGCTGCCCCCGGGCAAGTCAGGCACTGAGACATGGGCTAGGCTCCCGCCACTCTGTGGGACCTGGCCCTCACCTTGTTATCCCGTCTTTGATGTAGTAGAGAAGACACTCGGACATGAGCGGGTCCTCGTTCAGGTTGACCAAGTGGGGCGTCTGGGAGAGACAAACAAGGAGTCACACCAGTGTGCCCCATCTACCCGGGCACTGAGGGATGCTCCTGAGGGAGGTGGGAACTCAGCAGCACCTCAGGCTGCCCCCTGCACGGGCTCTCCTGCCCTCCGTACTCCTGGACAACATGCCCAGGCAGGTACTTTTCAAGGGGACTACAGAGAACCAAGCAGCTGGGATGAGGATGACCTGTCTCCACACGCCTCCTTGCTTTCCTCCTCAAAGGGCTGAGCCCTGGACACCCTTCCCCCAGCTGCTTTGAAAATTCGTCTTGCAAACAGGCCCAACACAGAGCCGAACACTTCCCATGGGGAGTCCTTGATATGGCTTAGTGTCTCTTGGGGCAGGACCCTGCTCGCCTGCGCTGTGTGGCCACAGGCCCTTGCCTCACCGTAGCCTCCAGCTCCGCTGCAGACAGTGTAGCTGAGGCAGAGACACGTCCCGTGCAGTGGCTGGTTTAGGATGACAGGAACTAAAAGTGCCCGTTTTCCTCCACTGATGGTACAAGGACAGATGAAGCACCTAAAAGAGCAGGTCCCAGACCAGAGATTCAACCAAAAGTGGTGTAGACCTGAAGCTGTATCTCCATTTCACTGAATTTCACTCCCTGGTCTCCTTCCTAACAGTTCCCTCCCATCACTTTCTTCCCCTGGGTCACAAACCACTTTGTTCTTGATGAGAGGGAAGTTTCTCCCCCGGCCACAGACCTCTCCGGCTGCAGCTAGCTTATCTCACCCCATCGCAAGCTGCTGTGATTGCACCTTCAGGCAACGGGCAAAGTCCCGGGAGTATCAGTAGATGAAGTTCTGAGTTTCCCAGAAATAAGAATAGAGACCGTAAGAAATGTCTTATCAGCCCACTGACACCCGACATGCAGAGGTTGCCCCATCACGACAGTGCTACGAGCTCTGGCTGGTAGGAGAGACTCACTCCAAACAGTGCAGGAGAGCTGGAGGTCAAGGGAAACGCAGGCTCTTCTCCATGGTGGCTGGCAGGAATAAGTTGGCTGTAAAATTTAACCTCAGGCCCCTCTAGGCAGACACGTAGCCCCGGGACTCCTTCGGCTTGCAGTTTTTCTCCAGATTTGCAAGGCTGGCTAGTAGAAGGCAGATGCTCTACCTTCCGCTGAGCTCCTTGGAGATGTAACAACTCCAGTGATGGCTTACAGCAGGACAACATACTTCTGCCCTGCTTTGCCCTTAACGAAACGGGGTTGTTGCATGCTGTCAATGTTAACTTTCCTCGCCAGCCACTGGAGAAGTCAGAGGAGTTCCCACCCGCCAGACAGCTGAAGAGCAAGGAGGCACCAAGACCACTACAGCAATGCCCCACCTCCAAGACCAACCTGCTTTGGGGAATAAACCCCCACACTTTCTACACAAAGGTCTGGGGTCCTAACAGGCAGTGGCTGAGACAAGAATGAGAAACAAAGATGACGGTGTAGAAATTTGTCCTAAGAGCCACGCCAAGGCACGCAAGGGGAAGGTCCTGAAGCCTTCATCACCAAATGTCACCACCTCAGCTGGGGACACATGCATCTACTAAGACGTTTGGCCAAGCCAACGAGCATCAGCTGCCAGGGCAGCTCTCAGAGCATCCCTCGGTGCGATGGGAGAGCCGAGCAAGCGCGCCTGGTCCTACCCACACGTGCCTGCACCTCGGCAGCCCCTGCTGCTCTGCAGGCTTCACGGGGTTGGGGCTGTAAACTGGACATCACTACCGCAATGGTTATACAGATGAGCGAGGGGCAGCGATGTGCTGTAACTGGTGCTTGGCAGGGTTCGCTGGCACACAAACTCTTTGGGGCACAGCCAATATTTTCTTAGAAAATACTTTCCAGGATGCCACAAGCAATAAAGAGTATGGAATGTTTCTGCACCCACATTTCTTAGCAAGGACTTGCCGGTTTCAGGGGCAGCAATTTCAAATCCCAAAGTATGGATTTTTAAAAGCTGACACTGAATTTCAACACAGCAATTGTCAGTGAAGCCCCACCTGAATGGGGACAGCATCCAGGCAATGGGGGTTGGACGTTTAGCCATGTGTTTCTACTGATGTTCGTACCCAGCAGGGTCGACACTGGGATTTCCCCCGTAGGTTTCAGAGCCAAGAAAAGGCTAGTGAAATATTTGGGGCTGGCCATCAGCAACAGGGCAGGTCAGAAGGGAGCTGCAGCGATACAAACCAGCCCTCGTTTGCAAGGAAGAAGAGAATAAGATGATCCTACCTTTTTAGGAGAGAAAACACCCAACGTGCCTCCATCCTCCCTCATGGCCACCCCCATTTCGGCCAGCAACGCTTCCCTGACGGAGCAAGGGAAAGAAGAGCCTGTCAAAGCCCCACGAGCCCCTGGAGCTGGCACTAGACAAGCCCAGGACGGGACCCAAGCCCATGGGTTTGCCCCACGAACCACAGCCGTAGGGCTTGTTTCAGCTCTCTCTGTGCCTCAGGAGGGTTTCTCAGAGCAGACCACGTCTGTGCAGGCTAACGTGGTGGGCACTGGGGTGCCCTGGGGCAGCCAGGGTATGGCTGGACAGTCAAATTGCCGGGCTGCCCCCAGGAACTGAATTGCTGTAGGCAAAGTGCAGAGGAGGGGAGATGCCTGGGGAACCCCACATCCTACCCCATCCCATTCCATCCTATCCCACCCCATCCCACCCACCTCTCCATCCGGATTGCCTCCGTCCTCCGCAGCTTCTCCTCCCACGTCTCGTTCAGTTCCGCAATGATCTTCTCCGTTTCCTGGCGAGCGTGGGGTTAGCAGGGGGTTAGCATGTCCTACGGGCAGCAGACCTGCCTGCTCGGCCAGGCTCTGCCCAGCTTGCCGCAGCGGGACACTGGTCCCAGTTTCAGGCTGGTTTAAACGAGCTGTGGCAGCATTTCACCCACGTCTTTCCATCGCCTCCATCTTCAAAGAGCAAGGCACGAAGACCAGCCTCTCCATCCCCTTGCTGCCAGCCCACTCCTGAGCCATCCTGAGCCAGGAGCGCCTGTCCCGCAGGGCAAAGGCAGCAGTCACCCCACGGGGAGGACGGCAGTACCAGGTGGACCCTACCATGCCAAACCCTCTCCCACCCAGCAGTCCAGAGCACTGGTCAGCTCTGCAAGAGCACGCCCGAGCGTCGCTTCCCATGAGCATCACCCATAACTGGTTTCCAGAAAATACCGAGCCCCCTCTGCAAGCGTCAGTGCAAGAGCGTTGAGCTGAGCCCTCCGACCTGCCAGGCGCTGGCCTCTTACCTTGAGCCTTTCGATTGCCTCTTCGCTGCCCGGAGCAAACATGATGCGCTCATGGAGGCTGGCGACGGAGGCGGCACGGCTGGACAAGGCCGACAGGGAGGAAGAGGGGCTGATCCCGGCGATGGCGTTGGTCACTGTGGAGAGATTGTCATGGCGGTGACTCAGCTCTACCCCTCTAGCATCATTATTGTTCTCAAAGTCGGACACATCTATGGGCAGGGAAGGAGGGATGGGCCAGGGAAAGACACATGGACAGGAAGAAAGAGAGAAAGAGAAAGATAGAGACAAGAAAAGCTGTTGGAAAAAAAAAAAAGAGTGGCCAGGTGCGTCGAGAAGAAAGCCAGGAATTACAAGGAAAAGGCACAGGCGACAGCACAGCAGTGCAGGCAGCAGCAGGGCAAGGGCACGCGCATCTCTCCCCCAGCCTGGGCAGCCCCCCAGGAGCACGGGGCTGTTTTGGGAAGCAGCTGCGGGAATAGCCCTGGAGCCTTCCCAGGCTCCCAGGGATGCTTTTTTGCCACATCCCCCAGGAGTGTGCCACTGCCCCTGTCACCCTCACTCACCAACACAGCCTGGGTAGTTTTCCCTGCCCGGCTACCCCAGATTAGCTGGATCTGGGGGCAGAGAATGAAAAGGGAAGGGAAGGAGAGGCGGTGGCCCTCCGCCCTACAAAGGGGTCAGGGGGATGGAGCAGGAGGAGCTGTGGGATCCCCTCGCTGGCAGAGCCCAAGCCCCTGCCCCGCTGGAGCAGAGCCTTGGCCGGGTAGCCAGAGAGAGAGCAAAGTGAGGGCAGGGTGGTAACACGCCTGTTACAGGCGGCGGGCCTTGCCGGCTGGCACCCCAAGCATCTGCTGCCACTGGACCCGGCGGCAAAGGGACCCAGGTATCAGAGATGCTCCTCCAGCCCCGAGAAGTCGCAGGGGCTCAGCGCGCTGTGCCGGAGGCGGGCAGGACACAGGTTAGCGAGTACAGCATTAGTCACCCATCTCCATCAGCCCGTGTCCAGGGGAGCTGAGCCAGGAGGGGACAGGCCAGGTCCCCGTCTCCTCAGCGGGCTCGCCACAGCCTGGCTGCACTGCCTGGCCCGGGGGGAATGGGGCAATAGTGTTTATCCACAGGCGAAAGCCTCCTGGACCTCATCACACACCCCTCCATCAGGAGAGCACTGTGCCAGCCCACCCAAGTGCCGTGCCGGGCTCCAGTCCCGACGAGCCCCAGTCCGACTCTCAGAGCTCCGAGAACAGCAGCAGCAGCAGCAGCAGCAGCGACAGGAAACATCGTGACAGCATGGAGGAAGGAGTCCCTGTGGGGATTGGGCCCTCAGCATGGCGGAGAGGGAGGACACTGGTCCCTCCGAGCGCTATCCCAAGCCCAGGCGCTAACCATAACTCTGTCACCGTCCCCTTTGCCAGCTCCCTGGGGCCGGCCGGCCCATCAGCTGGGGCTGACTACGGGAGCCCTTCCCCATGCTGCACAGTGCCCCTGGGCGCAGCCTACGCCTCCCAAAAGCCGTGAAGCAACAGAGAGTACCAGTGATGGGGAATACACACATTTGGATCCTCCCGCAGCAGGATGGGCTAAGAGAGAGAGAGAGGGCAGGGAGCGGGGGTAAGACAGAGAGAACAGAAAAAGAATGGGTTCATCTCAGTAGGATTTCCGACAGCACACGGAGGAGAGGCCATGGGTGGGCGCAGGCCCGGGAACATCTTCCTGGCACCTCTGCGGGGCACGGGATGCTGAAGACGGGAGGTGGAGGGGGAGAAGGGGAGATCTGCTGTGTGTAAAGCAGCTCCTCCGGCTTACGGGAGTGGGCTGGGGGTTGCGAACGCACGCACAGGGGCTCACCGGAGGCGTCCCATCCACGCTTCGGCAGCATGATGCTGCCGCGTGGCCTTCAGAGCAGGATGCAGGGCAGCTATGGGGACGCCAGCCCTGCAGGCAGAGTGGATTCCAGCCCGCCTCTGCCTGGAGCCACTGCCAGAGGGCACCGGGCGGTACCTACTGTCAATGATGTCCCCAAGGCCCTGGGCGTAAAGAAGATCGCGCAGGCGTGCCACCTCATCCTTCAGCTCCCGGATGAGCTTGTTGTTGGGGTCCTCGTTGATAACGGCATTGCAGCGGATCTGCTTGGCACGGTCAGCGTACCTAGGGAAGGGCAGAGCGCTGAGCAGCACCTGGGGGTTTGCCCAGCTGGGCAAGCGGGAGTGCTGACGAGCCGCGGGGGAGCCCCTCCAGCAAACGATCCTTTGGAGGATCCCAGCACCAGGACAACGCTTTGGCCTCTTGTCTGAGGTTGCAGGGTCCCCCCACAGCACCCCCCCAGCCAGGGTTGCCACAGAGGTGAGGAGAGCATGTGGCAGTGCCTGGGTTTCAGAGACCCCCCCCGCCCTCACCTGCTGTAGGGGAACAAGCGTACTTCTTCCTACCTGAGGGTGCTGAGGGTCTCGTCATAGTTGATGTCGGCAGGACTGAGAGCAGCAACCATGGCCGTCCTGGAGTTGCCCCCTGCCCGGAGAGATACACTTGTATCAGGGAGACGCTGGTCCCCGCGCCAGCCGTCCC